TCGCGACCGCACGTGTCTCATTGTCCCCGCTCTTCGGGAATCACTTCACCTGAAACTGTTCTGAATCAACGCATCAAGCCCCAAATATTTATTAGTAGGAATATGTGTGCACCACTCTTACTTATAATACACAATAACTGCGAATAGAGTACAATAGATGTCTACACAAGTGGTATGCGCAGCACAGTAGCAGTACGGTAACTGAAAAAAATGGATGGGGGTGCGATGGCGTACACGTTGCGGCGTACGAGTGCAATTGGCCGGACTAACGCAGTAAAGGGCGAATTTCACTACTAATACTATAGGACTATTCAACGAATATACAACATCGAACACAGAAACGTCATCGAATCCTCTCGGGGATGTTCCTCCCCTGCTGAGGAGGAAAAGAGAGTGAAGATTGGGTGGGGAGGGGGAGGGTAGTGTGGCTAAGGGCCTTTGCCTTTTGATGCCATTGACAGAAACAGCAACTAGCGATCCCTAGTAAGATCGACAGACGGGGTGCATGCATGGGAGCTATGTGGGTGGATGGAAGTCCAACGGCATGGTGCATTCTTAGGCGATAAAGAAGAATCGAAGAGATGGGAGTCTTCAGTTGGGGGGGGGACACAATTCTGACGGCTCAATATGAGTTTATGCTTGAACCGGCTGTCCTGCACGTAGTCGATTCATGTTACATGTCTTACAATATAGATGATCATTCAGTGGATAACAACCGGCACCTTCGATCTGAAATCAATCAATATTAGGGTTTTGTGCCCTACAGGGGTAATTATAACCCTGACTTACCTTACTGGATAGCTGCATACCACAATCTTCACATTTGTAGCACGTGGGATGGAATGACTTATCCATGGCTATAACTCGTACCGATTCTTTTTCACCTTCCACAGGCACAATTGGCTTGTTGCACACAGCGCAACGTGGTGCAAATTTCCTGAAGCAGTAAAATTGGCATAGTTAGGGCTAAATCTGAGTGAAAGGGTTCGGTTGTTACAAAGTTATATTTCAGGAAAAAGCAGGCAGGATACAGTACTCCTGGAAATTGCACGTGAAATTGGATGTGTCGGCTCTGTAACTGCACACGAGTGTACATCAATGAGCGAGAACGACGCTAACCCCGCTTTCCACCCGGCCAGAGGCTCGCTAGGCGATAACTGAGTGGTGTTACGTGCACTCGCTGCTACTACGCACTCAGTTTTACGTGCAGTTTGTAGTACTGTATCCTGACTGTTTTTTTAAACCTGATAGAATAGAGTTCGTTTTACTTCGCTGCAATATTCCGATAGCGT